AAATGATTTTAATTGCATATGGATGCTCATAAAATTTTGCTCGTGCAAAGAGTCATTTATCATTTCACCGAGTCCCGGGCTGGGTGATGTTCGTGCGGAGTTTCTTGCATATGTCACCGAGTTCCAAACTAGAGGGATGGGTATGTATATTATATATATGATTGGTATTGAGGATGGTCATGATGATGATGATGACAGAGATGACGTGATTATTATTTTGCCGAGCCCCTTACTAGGGAAGCTGGCACCTTAAATGTTAAATATATGCATGATTTTAAATTAATAGGGTATATGTGTAGCGATATTTTGTTTCGATTTGCCATATTGGTATCCTGCCATATCCGTACTGACCCCCCCTTTCCTCGGGGGGCTGCGTTTCATGCTCGCAGGTGTAGACGCACAGTTCGGTGATCCTCCCGCCTAGGATATCTACTCTGCTGATTGGGTGAGCTCCACTGTTCCAGAGCCCACTCATTTTGGTACATAACTTTTTGTGTAGTCTTTTGCTCGTCTATGGGTATGGCGGGGCCCTGTCCCGTCGAGTTTCACTACTGTACTCTTAGAGGTCTGTGGACATTATATGGGTTGTATATATATGTTTTGAATAATGGTATGGACATCGTTCGTTTGGGATGTCCGCTTGTAAAGGGGCAGCCTTGTCGGCTGTGTACATCATTGTGTATTGTGTAGTGGCAGCCTTGTCGGCTTACGTATGTTATTTTACTTTGAATAGTGGCGGCCTTGTCGGCTCGCGTATGCTTTTATTGTTGAATTGTTATGACTCCTTATGAGACAGGTCCTCTTTATATATATATATGACATCGGGGTTGGCTTGATTTGATTAAATTCCATATTGTCTTAGTTTCAGTTGATTATACTTAGCAAGTTCATATGGGGGTGTCCAGAATGGGCACTAGTCACGGCCCATCGGGTTGGGTCGTGACACATGAAGTCATTATTTGTTTGTATGTTGATGAAATGTTAATAATGAATAATGAAATTGACGATATAAATGCTACTAAGCGTATGTTGTCCAGCAAGTTTGATATAAAAGACTTAGCAGTTGCTGATTTGATCTTAGGGGTCAGGATTATCAAAACTCCCCTGGAACTAACATTATCTCAATATCATTATATTGAAAAAGTATTGGATAAATTCAATTATTTGAATTTCAATATAGTCAAGACTCCAATTGATTTAAGTTGTACATTAAAAAAGAATGAAGGTCAAAATGACTCTCAATTGGAATATGGAAGAGTCTTTGGAAGATTGATGTATATTATGAATTGCACGCGACCAGATATAACATGTGATATTAGTAAACTGAGTCGGTACACTAGTAATCCGAATCAAACTCACTGGATGGCTATGAAACATGTGTTGGGTTATCTAAAATGGACTCAACATTATGCTTTGCATTATCATAAATATCCTGCTGTGATTGAAGGATATAGTGATGCAAATTGGATCACCGGGTCAAATGATGTAAAATCCACGAGTGGTTATGTATTCATACTTGGTGGAGGAGTTGTCTCATGGAAATCTTCCAAACAGACATGTATTGACTGCTCCGCAATGGAATCTGAATTCATTGCTTAGGAAAAGGCTGGTGAAGAAGTTGAATGACTCCGGAAATTCCTAGTGGATATTCCATTTTGGCCCAAACCCGTTGGACTAATTTTCATACATTGTGATAGTCAAGCAGCAATAGGTAGGACATGGAGCGTTATGTACAATGAGAAGTATCTTCATATACGACGTAGACATAACACCGTAAGACAAAAACTCTCTAGTGAAATTATCACAATTGACTATGTAAACTCAAGCGATAATTTGTCAGATCCACTAACGAAAGGCCTAGTGAGAGAGGCTGTTGACAGATCATTTAAGGGAATGGGTTTACGGCTTAGGACAAGTCAGAATGACGGTAATTCTATCTACCTGACTGGAGATCCCAAGATCTACATTTGAGGAGAAAAACAAAGTTGTGGCTGACGGTTCGACATTGTCAATTCACTCAATCCATTCTCGTGATGAAGACAATGTTCAGGAAAATGTTAAGACTTTAAGGCTTGTTAATGAGGTAATAAGGCTTAAAGTTTTTAATGATTTGCTACGTTTGGTAGATTTGACAAAATAGTGTATCTATGAGATGACACGATTAGAAATCACCTATGTGAGTGTGAAGTGGAAGCCGCTTCAAAGAGAATTTTATGTCAAAAGACTATTCTCTATACACTCATGAAACTAGGAGGCATTAATGGCTGAAACGAACACAACCACAAGAATCATAAACAGTAAAGGGTTAATTGTGTGACATATGGTTGTCTAGATATACACCTAAGTTCGACGATTCAAAGATATCACATCTACCGATGACCGAGTATATCCGACATATGTTCACTACGGAAAGTCCAAGGGGAAACCTACTTATCCAGATACAATTAATCATTGCTTGTAAAGTAAACAATTGTCCGTGTGCATTCCTATGTTATAGTTGTTCCCATCAATGTGGTGGATTGTTGGGTATGTAGCAAGAATTGATGGGAAATAGAGGGAAGAAGAGGAAT